ATATATATATATATATATATATATATATATGCATTCCCTCCCGCATGACTTCAGGTGTACAGGGAGGTGTTTAGTCAACGAAGATGAAAAACGGAAGGTCTTTAAGGTTTAGGGTTTAGGGCTGTTAAGGGTTTAGGGTTTTTAAGGGTTTAGGGTTTATAATTACTTCTACAAGACGAGTGGGTTCGATAGAAGCGACGACTTGTTGAAATTCATAGACATCACAAAACACCACTGACACTGTCCCTCGGTCTTCTGCTTCAAGTGTAGAAGGAATGCTGCAGCAGCAGCAGCAGCAGAAGTAGCAGCAGCAGCAGCAGTAGCATCAGTAGCAGCAGGAATAGCAGCAGCAGTAGGATAGAGTAGTAGAGAGATTGGTTGGCGGAGAGAAGAAGACATTTGCGAGGAGACAGTAAAAAGGAGACAGTAGCAAGCAGAAAGGAGACACTTAGGAGGAGACAGGAAAAAGGAGACATTAAAAAAGGAGACACTACGCGAAGGAGAGGAGACAGTTGCGAGGAGACAGCAGAAAGGAGACAGTAGACAGCTGACAGAAGACACATGTATAGAAACAGGAGAAAGGAGACAGTATAGACAGCGGAGAGGAGACTTATGTAAAGAGACAGGGTAGAGGAGGCAGTGAACAGGAGGCCCTATGGAGTGCTGAAGGAGACAGTTGGAAGGAGACAGCATAAAATTATACCCGTCTTCATTAAGAGGTGCATTAATCATTTGATCAACAACAAAAGGCGGCAACATCGTGTTAAGAATTTCTCGTTGTTTTCTTCTGCTCGCCTCGACGCTGTAATCCAATAGGAAAGACTTTCTTTGGTTGTACTCCAAACGGTAACCGACAAACCCTAAAAGGAGACAGATATAAAAGGAGACACAAAAGGAGACAGAAAAAGAACAAGGAGACTGAAAAAGGAGGAGAGAGATATCAAAAAAGAGACAGAAGAAGCAAGAGGAAATATCAACAGGAAGATAAATCAGGAGGAGACATCAGAAGAAGGAGACAGAAGAAGGAGACAGACACCAGAAGGAGACACAGGAAAAGGTGACATCAGAAGAAAAAGACAGGAGGAGACATCAGGAATAGACACCCAGAGAGACACAGGAGGAGATAAATATAAAAGGAGACACATATGGAGACACGAGAGAAGAATAGAAAGGAGACACCAGGAGGAGACAGAAGCGGTGATCAGCAAAATACTGATAAACAAAGACAGCGGCAGAAGGTTAAAGAGAGACAGACAAAACGGAAACAGAAGAGAGGAGACAGAACAACAAATAGAGTCAAGGAGGAGAGACACGAAAAGGAGACAGACAGACACACGAAGAGTCAATAAATGAGGAGACAGACAGAGACGAGGAGGAGACAGACAGAGTAAGAAAGCCGAGCAACTGGCAACTATTAACAGTAGGAGACAGTGAAGAGAAGGAGACAGGAAACAAAAGACATAGAAGGAGACACAAAAAAGATAGAGGCGAGGAGACAGAACAAAACAAACAATAAACACAAAGAGACAAATAAGCCTCACCAACAAATACAATAGAGCCAAGGAAAAGAGGAAGATGGTCGTAAAGATCAGAAAGAGACAAATACTCCTGACTCTCTCCAACAATATATCTGCAACAAGCATTCAATCAAGCCCCATACGAATGCATGCAAATGCATGCAACCGCATGCAAATGCATGCAAAGCCACATATTTCTCAGGGGTAGTAAACACACACACGGAGACAGTCCAAGGAGACAAAGGGACAGGAGATACCCGATAAGGGTCAATAGGAAAAAAAGAAAGAGACAGAATGATGAAGTAAAAAATACGTTTTATTAATAAAACAAATAACTCAAAACTCTTAACAACAAATGCGGGGTTCAATGCAACAAAATCTACACCGCAGCAACAAAACTATATACACCACAGAAGCAATAATATATACATATATATATTATATATGTATATATATATGTATATATATGAATATACATATACATATATATATATATATAGAGAGAGAGAGAGAGAGAGAGAGAGACAAAGTAGGTAATATGACGGAGTAATAAGAGAAGAGACTGTTGCGGCTTGATAAAAAGAAAGTATGCATGCAAAGGAGACTCAGTTGAGGGGCATGAGGTGTACATACACCGCAACTTACCTAATAGTAAAAGCAGAGACAAACAAGACATTCCACATGACGGCTTGAAGAAAAGAAATGCGCAAAATGACGAAAGTAAACACCGGAAATAACACCGAACTCAATATGCCGTCCATCCTCTGAAACGCACAAACCCTAAACCCTTAAAAACCCTAAACCCTTAGAAACCATAAACCCTAAACCCTTAAAAACCCTAAATTCTTAAAAACCCTAAACCCTGAAAAGCCCTAAACCCTAAAAAGTCTTAGATACTAAAGCTCAAAACATAAACTGCCTGTAATGACACTCTACCGCGAGGAATCATCTACCCACTAAACTGTTGCATGCATGCATGCATGCATGCATGCACCACCGCATACATCAATTAATGCATCATTGCATGCACAAATGCATGGACGCATGCAGCAATGCATGCATCGATGCACGCATGCATGCACCACTGCATCCATGAGTAAATACACCACTGCATGCATGCATGCATGCATGAATGCATGCATGGATGCATGCACGTGCCATTGCATGCATGCATGCATGCATGCATGCATGAAGAAGACTGACGGCAGCGGAGTACAAGGTAACATGCTCTGCGAGCATTAAGAAGACGACAGCGCTAAGAACGAATGAAAATCTATCCATGAAGAAATGTCCAAATGTCGACAAAGTCGCGCCTAACAAACCCAACACCACTATGACTGTGGGGATGCACATCCATGCTGCACACAAACCACAAACCACAAACCACAAACCCTAAACCCTAAACCCTAAACCCTATCTAGGCCCTCCAAGCCCAAGTGTTTTAGAAACGCTAAAGCCTAGTAAACAATTATTCCTAATAAACCCTACACCCTAAAACGCATCATCGGCTGCTCTCCTCTGCAGCTCCCACGAGAGCGACATTAGGGTTTAGGGTTTAGGGTTTAGGGTTACGCACGTGTCACATGCTTCTCTGTCCCCCAATAGGCATCAATAAAATACTCAGCCAAAAAGGCAACGATGCGGTAAAGCCCCAAAAATACAAAAATCACCCGGTACCTGATGTCGCAAACGCATGCAATGCGGCTGCTGCTGACGCTGCTGCTGATCATGTTGCTGCTGCTGCTGATAATGCTGCTGCTGCTGCTGCTGATAATGCTGCTGCTGCTGCTGCTGATAATGCTGCTGCTGCTGCTACCCCAGCACCAGCAGTAGTAGACGGTTTGTGTTATACAGAACAGCAAGAACTAGGGTTTAGGGTTTAGGGTTACCAGGGGACAAGGCGTTTAACAAAGGATTTCTTTTGATGGATTTGATAGTCGGCCTCCAACTGCATGTCTTTGAACTTGAGAGAAAAACGATTAATTAAATGAGACACTTTCACCTGCACAGACACCCGAACAAACAAAGACAAAAAAAGCAAATGCAAAGACAGCAGAACAAACAAACAAAGAAAAAACAACAAATGCATGCAGCAGAATTACAAATATATATACTTCTATCCCTTTCTTCTTTATCTCCCTCTGTCTATGCATTTATATTGTGTGGGTAAGAATGTATATCATTGATATAATGTAAATATCGATATATATATATATTTATATGTATATATATGTACGTACATAAACATAGACATATGTATCATACGCATACATAGATGCACTAAACATCAAATGCACTCGTGTAACTATATATATATACATATATATACATATATATATATATATATATATATATATGAGTGCATTTGATGTTTAGTGAAGGGGAAACAAAGACAGTCAACCAAAATAAGAAAGAAATTCAAAAATACCGCAAGAGGAGACAGACAGAGAAAAACAGCCAAAAGAGAATTGAAGAGACACTCCAAGGAGACACTCAGCTGTCTCCTCTGTTTATACACGCACTCAACGGTCTCCTAATACACACACTCAACTGTCTCCGCTTCTAATAAAGACATTCAACTGTCTCCTCACCAGCTTAACATGATCGCGGTGTTTGTCTCCTTCAAAGGAGACACCAGACGAATTCGAATCAATCGAAACGTCGTCCTTCACACAAAACACAACACGTGCATGCATGCATGCATGCATGCATGCATATTTTGCATGCATGCAGAATAACCCACATGCATGCATGCATGCAACAAATGGAAGAGAAAGCAGTGTAAGGACAGGGAAGAGAACGCAAAAGGAGACAGAAAAAGCAGACAAAAGGAGACAAACGCAGAAAGAAAAGAAGATAAAAGGAGACAGAAATAAGAAGATAAAATGAAGCAGCAAAGGGGGCATGAGAGGAGACAAACGGAGGTACAAAAGGAGACAGAAAAAGAGACAGAAAAGGAGGAGACAGCAAGAGGGACTGAAAAGGTGACAGAAAAGCAGACAAAACGAGACAGAAAAGGAGACAGTACACCTCACTCAATCATCGCTTACCCCTGCGCCTCCTCCCCTGCCATGAGAGCCTCCTCCGTCTTTATCTGAATGAAGATATGCAGCAGAAAATATATGTTGAGATTATAAACTCGAACAATTAAATACAGTGTATATACCCACACAAGTGCATGCACACAAAGACAAAGACACTCCATATACACCGCATGCAAAAGCATGCATATCTGCTGATGAATATATCCGTTAATATATAATGTATATATATATATATTACCCTGTGGGGCTGCGTCTTTGTCTTTTTTCTCGCTCCCATAGGCGACAAAATCTTCATTAACTCTGAAGCGACGTGGGGGTGGTAGCTGCGCAGACACCTCAGGGTGTCTAAGGGGATTGAATTTGTCTCTTAAGAAGGCAAGTATTCTTCTATCTACGAAATGATATACAGGCCCTGGAGAAGGTAAGAAAACCCCAAGACCGCATATCCAAAAGAAGCGCTTCAGAAAAGAGAAAGCCCCGCGCAAAGATAAAGGAAACGTAAAACTGTCTCCTTGTCCCCCTGCAAATAAAACAGAGACAGATATATATATATATATATATATATAT